TCAAATCCATTTTAACCATCCAAAATCGCGTTTTTGGATGGTTAAAAGCAGCTAAGATGAGAAGCTAAGAAGCTAAGCTACGAGCTAAGCTAACAGGCCGATATCAGGGAAAAAAAACTCAGACTTGTCGAAGCGCCAAAATTCACGGTTAAAACCCGTGACTTCATCTAAAAAGTTGTTCTTCTCTGCAAAAAGAAGCTGAGATTGATGGCACGACACACAAACACGCAAAAAAAAAAATTCTTATTTGATTTTTGCCTCTACAGTAGACTTTTTTATATTTAAAATTTATTTGATTCTTGTTTTATAAAAGTGATGCCATGTTTTATCACAAATATTTTGATTCAAATTCGTTATCGTTAATATGGGAATGTATTACTCACATATGGAGCTACAGATTATAACAGATTAATTTATTCTAGAACTTGATTGAGAGTTTTCAAAACAGCTCCTTGTAATAAAAGTTTGTAATTTATTAAGGGATAATTAACTTTTCTAACTGCAGAGGAAATGACCTAAACAACCTCAGAAATTCAATAACATCAACTGATAAAAGTATAAACTGAGATGTGTCTTCTAGTTTACCCAAATAACATGTTTCATATTTTATTTTGAATAAAGAGATAGTGGTTCTTAGATATTGTAGCAGAATTCTTGCATTTTGTTATTTTATTCATAATCATATCATCCCAGCATCAGTCTAGCACTGTGTTTTTATTTTACAGTTTATTAACTTCTGTGATAATTATCATTTTTATCAACATTTAAATCTGTACTGGTGTATTATTTTATTTGTGATTACAATTTCTGATCCAGGGTTAAAAACTTTTGCTGTCACCTTTTTTTTTTCCCTTAAACTTAAAGTTGTGTATTTTTTCCAATTGTTTATTTTTTGATTGTTTGTGCTTTTTTTTCTGTCTTTTTTTTTTTTTTTTACAATATATGACCCTTTTTTTAACAATAAATGTTTAATATCTTTACAATTATTGGTGTTTATAATAAGTTTGTCACTTTCTCAAAGCACTTTCCGTGCATGCGTGGGTTTCTCCGGGTACTCCAGTTTGAGTAACTGAGTTTGAGTAACTCTAAATTGTCCCTAGGTGTGAATGAGAGAGTGAATGGTTGTCTCATTTGTCTCTTTGTGTCCCTGTGATGGACTTGTGACCTGTCCAGGGTGTCCCCCGCCTCTTGCACAGTGACAGCTGGATACGGGCACCAGTGAATGACCCGAAAAGAAAGATGCTGGTAAAGATAATGGATGGATGTAGGCCTGTCGCAATAAACAATAAATCAATTAATCAATTAATCAATTAATCACATGATGAATGAAAATTATCAACCTCATTTTCATTTATCGGCTCAACTCTGGCACTTTTCACTGACCCCTCCCTCTCTTTTCTCTTTAAAACCTGTTTTAATCGTCCAAAATCACGTTTTTGGATCTTTACAAGCAGCTAAGCTGAGAAGCTAAGCTATGAGCTAATCTAACAGGCCGACATCGAGAAAAAAACTCAGTTTTGTCAAAGCTCCAAAGTGCCTCCCTCTCATTTTTTTTAAAGAGACACACTGCTTGCTCCCTCACTATCCATCCTTCGGTTCAACCACTCTTACACTGCCATCGTGTGGTCAAAAACATGTACTACACGCAAAGCAAAATAAGATATAAAACATTTCTTCTTAAATTTGACAATAATTACTAATTGTTGTCAAATTTCAAACAATATTTTCGTTTATTGCAATAATTTTTGAGACAATTAACAGCCCAGCAAAATTTGTTATCGTGACAGGCCTAGGTGGCTGTATGGAGTTGTTTTGACCCAAGAGCAGCAGCAGGGTTAAAGACCTCCACCTCTTGCTGTGGATTAAAACGGAAAGGGAAGCTAAACCACACAAATCAATGATTCAGTTAATGGATCAATTATCTGAATTATTCAAAATCATTCTGAAATGTTTTTCTGTTCTGTTTGTGTTTCTTGTACAAAGTAAATGTTTAGCATTTTTTGAAATCTTATGTTCATTTATTTGACTTTTTTAAATTGTTTTGGTCTTTTTGGCCAGCATGTTGTTGTGTTTAGCCAATGTTTTTTTACGTTACAATATTTGTCAGCTTGTGCATTTTTGGTTATTTTGAATGTCTTCATTGTTTTATAGGTTGTTCTTCTTTTTGTATTTTTTAAAGTCTTTTTCCCCTCGTTTTTTTAATGGTATTTATTTACTCTCTTTTGTATCTAATTCAAACAGAAATTAAAAAGACAAAGGTCCTTCTGACAGCTCTGAGGCCTTTTAGCATCAAGAACTATTGCTGCTGAATCTGATCCCAAAAATATGGAAGCCCATTTCTGCCATGAATAAAAAATAAAAGCCCAAGAGGAAGTCATAATTTCGACTTAGAGTAATAATTATGGGAATAAATGTAATAATTTCGAGTTTTAAAGTCATACTTACAAGTTGTAAAGTCATAATTATGAGAATAAAAGTCATAATATCGACTTTTAATATCATAATTTCGACTTTTAAAGTCATAATTATGAGAATAAAAGTCATAATTTCGAGTTTTAAAGTCATAATTTCGACTTTTCTAATTTAATTTCGAAGTTTGTCCCTTGCCAGACACCATGACTCTACATCTCTTCCTGTCAGACACCGGTTTCCTGCATTCATTCATTCAATGTACTTCCCTCTGCCTTCAAACATCCATTTTTTTAAATAAAGGTATATAATGTATACATCTTTTCATCAAGCATTTAGTTTTGAAGCCAATTTCGGCTATGAAATAAAAGCCCAACAGGAAGTCATAAATGAGTTTTAAAGTCATAATTATGAGAATAAAAGTCGTAATTACGACTTTTAAAGCAAAATTACGAGAATAAACATAATTATGACTTTTATTCTCATAATTTTGACTTTAAAATTCATAAGTATCAGAATCAGAATAAACTTTATTGGCATTGCACCGAGATACAACGCGAATATGTACGTACAGTCGTCCGAAGATGGGCGGAGTGCACGAAACTGCGGCTAAAATAATTAGCGCGGCCTTCTTATTCTTATTCAGAATAATGTTTTGCTTAGATAAGAGAAGGAAAGAAAACATGAGGAGAGACGGTATAAAAAAATATCTCTCACATCGTGTCCTAGACAGGGCACAATTTGAGGCATCAAAAAAATCTACCACAGCAAAGCAACATAAACAGACGTTATACGTTTACATATAGGCGGTGAAAACATTGAATTTTTAAGGGAAAGTCGTAGCATAGTCCAGAGCCCCCCCTCAGCCATTGTCCAGATAAGAGGTGACGTTCATCTTCAGCTCAGTTGAGGTTCTGTCACATGTCCACGGCCTTGGGGAAGGAACGGGTGAGGAAACAGTCAAAGCCTCTTTGTTGTTTTCCAAACATTCCAGGAGGAGTTGAGATAAGTCCGGCATCAAGGCCACAGTTTGGGTCAGGCAGAACTCGTAATTGTTGTTTCTGCCTTTAAAGTCTCGCTGGTACATATTCTCTGATGGAAACTCCAAAACAGCCGAATTGATCCTTTACTCCAAAAGTCGAGCGCACAGCTTCTCCAGATTATTCCCACCATTCATGAGTGCTGCCAGGGAGAACACAGTCCTGATACAGCTGCTCCAATAAATGGTTCTAGAATTGCGCCGCTCAAGGTGGCTGCATGCTGGAGCAGCTCTGTTACTTTCATTCTGAGATTTTGCTTTTGGAAACTTTAATTCCTCTTTTTCTGGATGTAAATCACATTTTTTGGATGATTGTTTCCTCTGGTATCGGATGCTGTGCAGCTGGAAGGGTTTTTACTGAAACTTTTTTAGTTTTGGACATTTGTTATGATGTGTAACCATGGCAACAAGGCAGTTTCTACAACCAACAGCAGCTGATTAACATCTCAAAAGCTCAAGTAATATCTCAACTACAGCCCTAAATTTCAAATGAGTTGAAAAGGATGTTCTGTGGATGCATTTTCATCTACCTGCCAGCTGTGCTCGAGTGCCTGACCACTGAGATCCTGGAACTAGCAGGAAACACGGCTCATGACAGCAGAAGGACAGGATCGTCCATCAGCACCTACAGTTGGCTGTCCACAGCGATGAGGAGCTCAACAAGCTGCTGGGAGGAGTGGCCATTGCCCTGGGAGGATTTCTGCCCAACATTCAGGTGATCCTGAAGCCCAGGAGGCCAACCAAGTGCAAGTAAACGGATCAACATCTGTGGCCAGTTTTTTCAGATCTGCTATAAGACGGACCATCACAAGAGATCCTTCCCACCCACAGCCATCAACATCTAGAACAACTCTTTTATGAAACAAGGAAAATGTGCTACAACAACATTTAATTTCCCTCTGGGATTAATAAAGTATTTTTGAATTGAATTCCCTGTCACAGCTCCACATTCAGTCCGAGCACTGTCAAGCTTCAACACCTCCACACGAATTTGTAGACAACTAGATTCCACCAACCCAAACAGTAGATTCTAGTTGTCATCATGAATCCAATTTGTCCTTCAGAGTTCAGAGGGGTCCTCCTTACCCTGACTAATGCTAATGATCCATTGTTAGGCTGATGGTCCTTCTTGAGCATGTGATCAGCTGGTTTTGGTTGTCAGCAGCAAAACTGGTTGATCCACTCTGAGAAGGTGCTATTTAAGAGACTGAGCTGAATACAGCACCTCAGACTGAGGAAGTCTCTCGGATGAGAGACGAAACGTTTCTACATTTTTTTGTTGTCTTGCTTTGCTTTGTTTTTTTGAATGTCCAGAGGACCAGATTTAACTTTTTTAGAAAACACGTCTGGTTTCACCGTAGAGTAGCAAGAAAAAAAAAAGAGTTTTGAGTATGAGTATGAGTTTTATTCTTGTAATTATTTAAAAGTCGAAATTATGACTTCCTGTTGGGCTTTTATTTTTTCTTTCATGGTGGAAATGGGCTTCCATACCACCATCTCTCTCTGCACAGATGAAATTATTACTGCCATTATCCATGTCCGTTAGGGGGAGTGCAGGCTTCCAGCTCAGCACGGAACTGATTGAACGCATTTTCCAGATTCAAGTAGGGCAGGGCGCAGGGCGGCTGGCCCCGCAGGAAAAGAGCTGCTTTCCTGATTGTTTGTCGCCTTCAGATGAGATTTAAGGGTTTACATTGTATTTAGTCCGGTTTGACGCTTTATCCTCCATTGCTCGTCCAAATATTACAGGTGGGGAAAAAATGTCAGATCCTGTAGTAGCCGATACTCGCCGGTTGAATTCCAAGCCCCAGGATCTGACGGATGCTTACGGCCCCCCAAGCAATTTTCTGGAAATAGACGTTTACGATCCACAGATCGTCGGAATTGGACGGAACCGTTACACAACTTATGAAGTTCGCATGAGGGTAGGTGTCGACGTGATAATTAACTTTTGTTTGCTAAGCAAGCTGTGAACCACGGCGTTGTCGCTAAGCTGTTAGCATGCTTAGCCGCTACGCTAAAGCCCGCGGCTGTGACGCCGACGGTTGGGCGCCTGTGGTGGCTCGAGACGGTGAGCGAGTAAAACTCAAAGCCCGGTGATTTGTCAAGAGGCCTCGCGTGCTAATGTTGTTAGCATGGGGATAGCATAATGTTGGTAGAGGTTTCCTTAACATACACGATGAAAACAGATTCACTTCATTCCATTTGAGTGCATCATTGTAGGCAAATGTATTTTAGACTAGAACCGTGTGTTTATTCAACTTAAATTACAGACATGTTCAGAGAAAAATAAACAGGAGTTCAAACAAACAGGAAGAAGCTAACTGCTAACAGTTAACCATGTACTGTCACTAAAGCTAGAACTAGTTTGTTATTGTCTATTGAGTTTATTTGCAGCTTGTAAACGGTTATCCCACACTTCCTTATGCATTTAGGATTGTAAGAGTGTGACACTGAAAATCCACAAGCGCAGCAATATTTGTAGACCACGTAAGGAAGCTAATGCTGACACTGTAATTGCGTAATTGCCAGTTCAGGCCTGTCTCCTTTATTTTTAATGCAACTGCGTGGGAGTTGCATCCATCCATTATTTTTACCTGCTTCTCCCTTTTCGAGTTGCAGGGGTCACTGTCCAGCAATCACTGTGCAAGAGGCAGGGGACACCTGGACAGGTCTCCAGTCCATCACAGGGACACATAATTGAAACAAACATTCACTCTCTCACTCACACCTAGGGACAATTTGGAGTTGCCAATCAGCCTAACATGCATGTTTTTGGTCTGTGGGAGGAAACGGGAGTACCCAGAGAAAACGCACACATGCACAGAGAGAACATGTAACCTCCACCCAGAATGGCCCCAGGCCAGGATTTGATATGGCTACCTTCTTGCTGAGAGGCGGCAGCTCTACCAAGTGCACCACCGTGCCGCCCAGCATATGTCTAATCTAGAAAAAGAGGGGAAGAACTGGAAAATTTTGAAAAAAAACACATGCCATGGATGAATTAATGCATTGATGAGTGTCAGCTGACTTTTGAAAATGGCTTCCATAAACTTTAGGCAAAAGTCAAGGTGCTTTGATTAACATGCTGGTACAAAAAAAAAAGGGGGGGGGGGTGTATAAAGTGTAGCTGAAAGTTGGGAATTATCAATGAACATGTCAAAAGCATATGACTTTGGCTTGTGGGATGGTCATTTGTCAATATTTATAACTTGTAGTCATTTAATCAACTATCATGTTAATAGATTAAAAAGTATATGTATGCATTATCATGTGGGTATTTTAAGTAGAAACACTTCAAATTTATTGATAACTTGTTTTTCTTCAAATATTTGAGCTGAGAGACGTGTGCTGCTGCTACTTCTGCTTGCCATTGATCCATATAGTTCCTTAATTTTCATCCAGCTACTGGATCAGTGGAGATGGTATGCAGGTAGCTGAGCTCACTCATGACCATAGTTTCCACTTCACAATTCTTTCAAAATAAACTAGGATGGCAGAAACACACCCTCCAAGGTTTTATTTTTATCTTTTCTTTCGAGAGGGACAGTAGGTGTTGTGACGAAGCGAGCACCATTAGGAAAAATCTTAGCATGACGCTAACAGGTGCTTTTGTTAAAAAAAAAAACTATTGTCAGACACATGAATTCTTTAAGTGTGTCTGTTTTAACCAGATTTAAATTGTTCATATACTGACCAAAAATATAAATACTTCTGTTTTGCTCCCATTTTTCCATGAGCTGAACTCAAAGATCGAAGACTTTTTCTACATACACAAAAGGCCTTTTTCTCTTAAATATTGTTCGCACATTTGTGTAAATCTGTTAGTGAGCATGTCTTTGCTGAGATAAACCACCCACCTGACAGGAGTGACATCTCAAGATGCTGAGTAGACTGCATGTTTATTGCACGTGTATCATAGGCTGACCACAATAAAAGGCCACTCTAAAATGTGCAGTTTTATGAAAAAAGTTGCTACAGATGTTGCAACTTTTGAGGGAGCGTGCAGTTGGCATGCTGATGAAATATGGGAGCAGAAACAAAAGTGTTGTATTTAGATTTTATTTTATTTTTTCCAGTGTAAATCCCTGCCCATCCCTAATGGATACTGGTTACTGTTCCTTTGCCACGTCCTACTTTTCGAGTTTTGGTCACGTTGTACCCTCCATGGACATCTTTATGGTTACTTTGACAGTCAGAGTTTTAAAATAGTCTATACTATAATCTACCCATCATGTCAGAATTTGTTTCAGATTATAGTTAGAGTAAGGGCAATAATTAAAAAAATTATAACAAATGAAGATGGTTGGGCATCCAAAGTTACAGGAAACAGTATTTAAGTGATGGAAATGGGTTAAAATTAGGGCAGAGATTACTTGGTAATGGAATAAATGAGCAGAAATATAAAAGTAAATGCATGGGTATAAAATGGGAACTCCTGTGCACAACATGAAAGGTAAGAAATGGCACAAGAACAATTTGACCTTTAGGCTCAGTATATCAGCACCAGATATAAACGTAGAGATAAAATGTTTTGTTTAGTCTAAATCTGTTTCAATTGTTCAGAAGGCTGCGTTCTCAGGTTGTTTCTTTTTCTCCACATAGACAAACCTTCCTATCTTCAAAATGAAGGATTCTTGTGTGAGGAGAAGATACAGTGACTTTGAGTGGTTAAAGAATGAGCTGGAAAGAGACAGTAAGGTGAGTAAGACATAAGCTCATGTTCTATGGCATTACTCTGTATGTTGGCTAACTAAGTATTTACCATATTTTTCAACTTATAAGTCAGTTTTTTGCATAATTTACATATCCTGCAACTTATACACCGAATCAACTTATTTATGTTTTTTCCCATATTTATAAACCAATTTTTGGCTGAGATATGACCGTTTTTATTCATTCTGACATTGAAAATATTGAACACTACCATTTTCAGCCACTAGATGGCACTCGAGTAGCATGGCATGCCGTTGTGTCATGTAATTTGTAAAAGTCGCTATTAATGACACAATCAGCTTGCCATAGCCTGCCACCTTCATCCAGCTCGCTTGGAGCAACCGTCAACTTAGCGTCATTTTGCTGCATCGCCCAGGTGAAACGCAACTATTGTGACCATTGAAGTGCATTTATTAAGTAAAAGTTCAACTGAGACGCACCTTAGTTATAATGTCGAGCAAACAAATAATTATTTTAGGTGCTTGTCTTGTTAAATTTTGAAAAAATGCACGGCGTTCCTCCTTCCTGATTTCCTCCCTCTGCATGCTCCCGGAGCACCGATGCAGCGAATACGTTTGAAATGCAGCTGATTTGACTGTTAAATTCCTTTTATTCAGGAAAAGTTCAACTGAGACACATCTTTACTATAATTCTGAGCAAACAAATAAATGCTTTTAAGCATTAATCTTGTTAAATTCTTGTTAAAGTACTCCCATTCACGTGGCCGCCATTTGGCAGCCAATCAATTTTTGGCACATCGGCCCATGTTTCCGGGTTGTCAGCGGTGACGCATAATAAATGCGACGTATACGGTGAAGTGACATATTTGTTTTTTCCTACTTTATTAGACATATTTGGACTGGTGCAACTTATAGGGCTGTGCGACGTGTACGGTGAAAAATATGGTAGTTATTACCTGGTCTATGACATGTTTGAGTAAAATTATATATCATTTAAAAGCAAAGGTTGTGCTTTACGTTTTGTACTTAGTGGAAATAATTGCTGTTGTTGCAGTTGTATTTTAAACCCTTCTTGATATATTGTTGTTTTGTGTTACGTACAATCCTCTTGTATCACGTTCAGATTGTAGTACCACCTTTGCCGGGAAAAGCCCTGAAGAGACAGTTGCCGTTCCGTGGTGACGAGGGCCTTTTTGAGGAGTCTTTCATTGAGGAGCGACGATCAGGCCTGGAGCAGTTCATCAACAGGTCAGTCAGCTTCACATCCTTTAAATTAAAACATCTATGCATGGTCTGTATAGTTTGGGGAAAAGGAACTTGACTTGCTTATAAAAGCGCAACAACAGTAACTACGGATCTGGTCTATCTTTAAGTTTTACTGGTAAATCTAGTTAAGCTTCAGAGATGTTCCTTGTGTTAGTGCTTCATTTGTGTTTAGATACAAAAAAAGAAGTAAAAACAAATGTTTACACATTCACTAGAGTTCATCTAATTCTGTAAGTCTACATACAGCCTTGTCTTTTCTATGGAGAAGAATCGTCAAAACTGACTAAACTAAAAGTGTATTTTGTGATCGTTCAAGAAAAGTAGTTTTTAATGAGCTGTGTTTTACTTTTTTTTGCCATCTGTGTGTGTGCGCCCGCGCATGTGTGTGTGTACAGAATTGCAGGTCACCCCCTGGCCCAGAACGAGCGCTGTCTTCACATGTTTCTGCAAGATGAAACCATCGACCGTAACTACATTCCTGGAAAAGTACGGCACTAGTTTTACTGAGGGAGATGGTGGGGGTGAAACAGTGGGGGGTGTAGAACGAACTGCTTCTTGCCTTTATCTTCCCTCACAACTTCTCTGTCTCTCTCTTTCTGCTTTATTTGCCTCTTCTATTTATTCTGTATGTTCTTATCGTTGCTAACTTTATCTTGGCATTAGAATATGTTCTTCAGCCATGTGTAAAACCATGTTGGCAACATCTCAGACAACTCTCTGATTCCTCGTTGTGTGTTTATTTTATAACTGTACAGTAAGGAAAGCGCCTCCAGTACTTGTCTTTGAGTCGAGACTATTTAGCTCTTAATTGCAACTCTTGAAAATTAAATTACTGTTGCGAAACAGTCGTCCGTTCCCCGATAAGTGTCTCGTATTCATAATTGTAATATTATGTAAATAAAGTAGAATGATGTCTAAATGTGTGTGCTGACGCCAATGTTTACTTTAGCGTTGCATGCAGATCGTTAATGAGAATTCTGATCTTGGTTTGTTCTCTTTGTTTTTATTGTTTGTTTGTTTTTTAGGTATGAATGAAGTAAGTTTGCTTTATTTAATTCTGTCTCAGCGCTTTCTGGGGGTTAAAGATGGTTGCATGGGCACTCTAAAGACTAAAGGCGATAGTTCACAGATACTTAATATAATAACACAAATGCTATATCTAAATTCAAAAATGATCTAAATAGATTTCAACAACCGTTAAAGGGATATTGCAGTTCTTTTTGATGTCGGATTCTGTGATAATGTTGTGAGCTGTTCCATATGAGGTCACAACCAAAATGGATTGCTGCTGTTTGAAAATGACACAATGTGTTTGTGATTACACAAACATCTTTATAATTATAAATTTTACATGCGGTCTTTTTTTCCTTTACACATAGACTTTGGTTGTAATATTGTAAAAGACTTGCTGGGCATGCATCAGGTTGCCCAGAAGTGCTACAGTTTAGCTGCTGCCGTTTTGTTTTGTTTTTTAACTTGCAAATAAATATAAATCTCTATGTAAATAATTCAAAATTGAAAGCGATATAAGCTTTTATAAAAAAAAATGGAGTTTGTATAAAAACCGTAAACTTTTTTTTTAGGTTGAAGTTATTTTCAGACCGCAGCAGTCCACTTTGGTGTTAGCTCTGCTCAAACTAGCCATTAGCTTGTTGATTTAGTTAGAATTCTCTTTCTCCCTGTTGAGGTTGTTCTAAGAGCCATCTACAACAGGTAGGATGTTGATCGTTCATACCTTTGTACAGAATCCCAATTCAAAAGATCTGAACCATTTGCTTTAATCTCCCAAAGCAAGTTGGAATAACATTCTGCAATCCAGTTTGGGCACAACTTCATAGCAGGTTAATAAAATAATTTAAATCTGCTTTAAAAAAAACATTTAAGTGTACTCGAGTTTCTCAGCTGTCATGTAATCTGGCTTGCAGAAGTCCAGTAATGTAAGACAATTAAGACAAACCATCACTTTTTGAAGTTATGTGAACTATTGTTTAAAATGAACCATTACTGTACATGACTTCTAGCAGGAGCTCTTCTGAAACATTCCTCCAGACTAATACAGATACGTGGTCATAATCAACTGCACTAATTCTTGCCTGCATGGCACACTTGCACGCTTTCTTTGTCATACTTTTTGTCTCGCTGGGAAATTTCATTTGCATCATTTAATCACCATTATATTGCCCTGTCTGCTGATTCAGATTTAATTTTCAAACATACAGGTCCTTCTCAAAAAATTAGCATATTGTGATAAAGGTCATTATTTTCCATAATGTAATGAT